GCCCAGAGGACATGGAAATTCTAATTAGATGAGAACATAGCCAGGAACAGAACTGTAAGGCACTGGTGAACTTGAGCAACCATAAACAGTGTGTGTTTGTTTGGAGTTTTAAGTATTGTACATAGCTTTTTTCTCTTGAGAAGGGACAGGAGGGCAGGTCAGTATCCTCTGGGATAGCACCTCCCACCAGATTGGGAGGCACAACCATCTTGCTGCCTGGCTCCTCTGGGGAGGGGTCCAATTCTTTCCCAGACTTGTTCTAACAGCAGCAAAGTATCAGGGGCTTAGCAGTATTTTAAAATTAAGGAAGTTTTCTTCTGCCTTGTAACTTGAATGAAGAAAGACTTCCTTGAACTCCCTGTCTCAAAAAGCACATCCAAGCCAGATATGGGCCCCTCACAGCACACTGGGGGGGGAGGGGATTATCAGGAGGGTCTGATTAATTTAATGGGTGTGAAGGAATGTCCTCTTCTGAAGAGCAGTGATGGCATTAGAGTCCCAGATGACCTCACAGTCCCAGGAAGGCATTAGAGTTCACTCCACTTCCTCACTCTTCTCAAGAAAGGAAGGGGGCATTGAAGAGGGGAAGAGGAATTGGTTTAGCTCAAAACAGGGGACTTCCAGGCCAAAGTGGCTCCCCTAAGGAAACTTTCCTTCCTCCCCTATAAAAGGGGATCAGGCAGAGCTTGTGTTGCTTGTTGGTTCTCCTTTGGGCAAATGTTTTCCTGAACTGTGGGTAATATCCGAGGTCAGTTTCAATTTTGTAGTTTTTAATAGCCTCTAAGAGTTCTGGAGAGAGTTGACCCTCTTGACTTTGTCTCTCAGCTTCCTTTTTAACAGTTTCCTTATTTCTGAGAAGTTTCCTCTTTTGAAGTCAAATGTGACTCTGTTGGGCTTTCTTGGCAATTGTCTACTTACATGTGTGGTGCGTTGCCCTTTTCTTAGTTTGAATGAAAATTAGCCCATTGACAGGGAAGCTGCTGTTGCTGCTGCTGATGACATTTTATCCCTCTTCAGTCAGTAAAGGTCCCCAGGGCTCCTTACAGATCACTTCTATAAACAGATGTTTCTTCCTTTTAGGCTTACAACGTAAAAAGACATGGCACAAGAGGAAAATGGAGTGGGGAGGAAGAAGAATTGAGCAAACTTAGGTACAAGTTCATCATTTTAAATTAAGCCTATGGGTGGAAGAGCTGAAGGAGTGGAAGCACCAAAATCCCTTGGTGTGTCTGCCACACTGCTCAGCATGCCTTCTCTTCTTACTTCTTTCCTGCTTCTGAATGGGCATGTTTACAATTGAGGTGTTAGTTGCTAATTGTGACTGCAATGACTGGTCAGATGGGGTAGACAGATTACATTAAAGCAGCTGCTGAGTATGATGTTTTATTGTACTTTAGTAGAAGCAGAGGCAGGGCTGGTTTAGACAAAAACATACAGCATGCATGCAATAAATAGCCAACAGCTCCAAGCTCAGGCATTGCTCACCACTTTGGCACCCTCTTGCCCTGAGTTCTTGCTTGAGGACAGTGGCTGCTTACTACTCTCTGCCCCAGCTCGCTAGCCACCACTGAATCAGGGGCTGACTTTCCAGAAGGAGAAGAACATAATATTTAGAAAATGGGCCATTCATTTAATTCTGAACAACTTACCAGCATTTATTCCAGTCAAGGATCTGCTAAAGCAGATCTGCTGCTGTAAAGCAGAAGAACCAGCAATCCTGCTGCTCAGGAAAGCCTGTTGATGCCAGAACAAGCAGTACTCAGTTCTTCAAGTGCCATACAGAAATATATATCTTGATTGCAATTCTTAATGAATAGTTTGAAAAACAAAGATTTACACAGATAGAGATGAGCTTTTCAGCTTGCTTGCACTTCAGCTAGAGTCTTAATTTTGTTGTTGCTTTTACATGTTGATGCTATCAATTTTAAGTAGAGGCCAACACCATCGTTTAAATAATTGTTTAGCAACGCTGGGAAGCAGACGTCCGAAGAACAGCAAAAATGTATTTCAATATTATTTGATAATTTGGGTTTCTCAAATGACTGTGAAAGAAATGAGAAAATTTCTTTTCACATTCTTTCACATTTCCTCTGGCCCACCCATTCTGTTTTCCAATATTTTTCCAGACCGCTTTGTTGTTGTTACTAGCAACCTCAACTGCAGAGGAATAAGAGAGAGGGCATAGCTCATTGATAGAGCGGAAACTTTCCATGTGAAAGGGTCAAATTTCAGTCCATGGTGTCATCATTTAAAAGGATTGTGTAGCACAGGAATAGAGAAGCATGGCCCTTCAGAAGTCGCTGGACAACTGGGCAGCCTGGGTGGGACTGATGGGAGTTGTAGTCTAGCACCACCTGGAGGGCCACAGCTTCTTCATCCCTGAGGTAGGAGAGGATAGGAAGGATCTGTATCTGAGACCATGGAGAGCCGCTGCCAGTCAGGATAGAAAAATGGAATTGATGGACAAGTAATCTGACCTGGTATTAGGAAGCTTCCTGTGTTCCTCTGAAATATCATCTCCCAATCATGAAGTTAGAACCTGGCTAAGCCTCCTTAAGACAAACTTTTCATAGCTCTGTCATTCAGGCCCGTATCACCTCAGGTGCGACCATTTTTGATCCCTGAAAGCAAAAGAGTGGAGAATTGAAAGAGAAGAACAATGGATTTTGTTTTATCTGCCAGTGCCAAACTTGCCCCCTTCTCTCCATGCATCCCCTTTCTACTCCAGATTCCATCAAAAAGAATTGGGAACCTTAAACCTTAAACCACCTCCTTAATTGAGGTTTGTATAATAGAATTCACACCTTAAAAGCTTCTCAGTGGCCTCAGTAGCACTGCTGAGTGCCACAAGGCTGATTGAAGCGGAGAGCTCCTTTTTGAATCAAACTGTTAGCTCTTCTCCTGCAGATACGCTTCAAAGGAAAATAGATGCTTTGCTGGCCAGTTGCAATGTATGACAGCATGCAAGGCGGCTAAGCAGAAGTTTACATGTAAAGACTGATAAAAAAAGTAGAAGAATATTGTGAAGCCCTCATTTCAGCATACAAATACAGAACGGAGGGGGCATAATTTGCTTGAAGCGGTAACTTCTAGACAAATTTCATGTGCTGTTCAGGCCAAGGAGTGATTCAGGTCACATTTAAGGGGCATGGCTTCACCCAAAGAATCCTGGGAACTGTGGTTTGCTAAGAGTGGTAGGAATTGTAGTTCTGTGGGAGGTAAATTACAGTTAGCTGGGGTCATTGGGCCGGGGGGGGGGGAGCTGTGTGCTTTAAATGTGGCTTAAATATATGGTGTAATACCCAAGATGATTCAATCCCTATTCAGGCATTAATCATGACAACTGAAAATGTGAGGGGGGTGAGTGGACACAAGCCATTTGCTCCATGGACTCCAACCCCCTCACCATCCTAGTCACTATCCACAAGTTGGAGAGTGACTGAATCTGGGAGACTTCCTCAACTCATGCAAGGATCCCTATGAAACGAAGGTTCTAAAATGTCTGGAGATTCTTACCAAGTCTAGGAGGCTTCCCCACTGCAGACAGTCACCAGATATGGAGCTAGTGTTCTTGCGCCCACCCTTCCCATCCCTTATGGATACATGAATAGGGCCAAAGTCTACAAGCCGTGACCTTGCTATTTCGTTTTCAATTAAGTATTTGAAAGCCCTTCAAAATTAGGCATCATTCTGACATTGTAATATTGACATTTCACACATGTACTTTATTTCACTGTTTCCCATGTGAAAATGAGAAGAAAGGCTAGAGGTGATCTTAAAAGGATGTGAGGGCTTATATGGGGAGCTATTCCTTAAGTATTCCTACAAAGGCCTATGAAGGACATCATTAGACCATTGGCCAGCACTGGTGCAACTGGCTGATAATTAATGTATGTGCTTCCATCTATCTCCCTGCCCTCATCAAGAGATAGCACAGGATGCAGCAGGCTTTCAGAAGTTTCTGAACCATTTTCAATCATATTCTTATGTAGTCTTCATTGTAATAATTGGTCCTCCAGGTTACAAAAGGATGAATGACAGTTACCAGAGTTCCATGTTCCAGGAAATGCAGCAGTCTGCAAATAAAATGGAGTTGACGGAAAGCATTATGGCAAACCTTCAAGAGGGAAAAAAGAGAGAGGATTTTCTAACAATTCTTCTTTCAAAATATATTTCTCAGTAGAAAAGGTATATGTGATCACTAAATTAAATACATTAAAATGTGATCAGTATCCTGTAGCAGTTGTCAGCTTCATACTCTTCTACCAGTGTGCTTACAGACTTTATGCTAAGTAGGAGTAGATATAAAGCTGCTCTAATCTTACCACTAGTTCACTCTTATTATCAGAGTGACAACTTTTGACTTTCATTTCAACTTATTTTCTTAGATTTGGGATAAATCTACCCCAGTTATGAGTAATCATTGGAGAAGATTAAAAACTCCCTAGCAGGATATGAGTAGTTGTTGAATGATTTGAGTCAATTTACTGTGATACAGTCTGGAATCCAAAGAGTCAGTTTAGGAATGTTCATTGATTATTTTTCCCTTTAGCAGCAGACTTTGATGCACATTTAACAGAAACCCCCTAAATGCCCTTAATAAATTGGGATCTAATTTAACATTCTGAAAATATTCATATTTTATATTTTAGTTTGCTCTCTGTTTACCAAGGCAGTGTGTGTGTGTGTGTGTGTGTGTGTGAGAGAGAGAGAGAGAGAGAGAAAGAGAGCGAGAGAGAGGAATAAGCTTCATAGAGTAGTCCCCTCAAAAAAGTAAATTACAGCTTTCAGACCCCTAATTTTTTCCACCCTACATCACTGACAGATGTTCCAGGACATATCACAAACTGCTTTGGAAGGCTCTTTCTGTTTCCAAAGTTGTTTACATTGTGGAAATGAGAGCTACTGTTTGAGAAGTACAGAACCAAGGCAATTCTGGGTGCAAATAACTAATTGTGTAAATGTTTTGATCCTGCCCATTTTAAATACAAGCTGAGCTGGGATAGCTCAGTCAGTAGAACATGAGACTCTTAATTTCATGGTTGTGGGTTCAAGTCCAATTTGGTGCCAAAGTTTCCTGTATTGCAGCGGGTTGGACTAGATGACCCTCGTGGTCCCTTCCAACTCTGGAGTTCTATGATTTTATAATGCATCCATCAGTGGCTAGGAAATAGTAGTTAGAGCAGCTTAGATTGCTGTAGGGAATATGAAAGCATTTTGAGTTTTTACTGTATTCTTCATAGAGACTAATGAAAATAAACAACTGTATTTGTGAAAATGGTTTATTTACAGAGCTGAAAATTGAGTTTATTGTGATGATTACACACTTCCAATATGCTTGGAAATAAAGAAGCTTACTAGAAAGAGATACATCTCATATTCTTTTGAATGCAAATGATAGTTTATTTTTAAAATCAGAATTAAAACTGTTTATTGTTTAAAACTTGAGAGATGAAACTGTTGCAATTTTGCGTGTTTGTGACCTGGACTATGCGGATTATTCAAGGGTGAAGACTCATATTTTGGGACAGTCACCTTCTGGCTCTTTCCCACCCTGTGGATTTATCATCTAGCTTGCATTCACTTTTTAGAACCACCTTCCTGGTTTTAGATTGTGCAATGCTAAAGCAAAGCAGCATATTCCTCTATATAAAATGTTTATGGTTAAACATTTTAGTAGGAATATATAGATGCACCAAAATGGGGGGGACACCTGACTTGACCTAGGGGTCTTAGTAGACCATAAGCTTAACGTGAGTCGATATTGTGACTCCAGCAGCAGAAAACATACACAAAAACACCTAATACAATTCTAGCCTTTATCAACAGATCTATGATGTCCAGATCAAAGGAAATAATAGCTCCCTTGGTCAGATTCCAAATGGCAGTATTGTGTGCAGTTCTGGGCACCACACTTTAAGAAGGATATTGACACGATGGAACATGTGTAGAGGAGGTTGCCCAAGATGATCAAGGGTCTGGAAGCCAAGTCTTATGAGGAACAGTGGGGGGGGGGTAGGTATATTTATACAGAAGACTAAGATAGCCATCTTCAAATATTTGAATGGCTATCACATGGAAGATGGATCAAGCTTGTTTTCTGCTGCTCCAGAGGGTAGGGCCTGAATCAGTGGATTCAAATTACAAGAAAGCAGATTCTGACTAAATATTAGGAAGAACTTTCTGATGGTAAGTGCTGTTCGGCCATGGAATATACTACCTCAGAAGGTGTGGTGGATTCTCCTTTTTTGGAGGTTGCTAAGCAGAGGTTGTACGGTCATCTCTTAGGGATTCTTTAGCTGTGATTCCTACACTGCAGGGAGTTGGGCTAGAAGATGATCTTTGGGCTCCCTTCCAACACTACAATTCTGTGATTCTAAGGGAATAAAATTATCAAAACTTGGTTTCCTTTCTATGCTAAGTTTACTCTTTCTCAAAAATAAAATGAATTCAAACATGGAAAAATGTAAACATCTAAAGCTGTAGAACAAAAAAGAGGAAAAACATGCATTTTCTTAGAGACATCAGAGTATCAGAGAGGTTAAAGAGATGCTGATTTTTCTACTGAGTGCTATATTTAGAAATCGCTTGTGTGGAAGAAATGTTCTGCTTGCACGCCCAGAGAATGAAAATCAAGTCAACTCCTTGGGCAATTTTATCACAGGAAACTTGGTTGTTTTGTTTTTTTTCAACAGCAACATTTTATTAAAATCTTTCATTTTGATAGAAATTCTATAGCTATGACTGTTGCTATATTTTGGAAATCTTCTCACTCGTGGGAACCTGTTAAATAGACTACAATACTTTCCTATTAAAAGACAGAATATAGTTTGAGGGGAATAAAAAGTAAGCATTTTTCATTCCAAATGAGGATTGAAAATAAACATTTAAAGACTTGGTTAAATTGAGCCTAGAATTTCCTCTGGATAATTTCTATGAGTTTTATCCTGTGCTTCACAAGCAGAGTTCCATTCTCTCTTTCTCTCTTCTCCTTATGTGACCCCAAAATCTACTCAGAGGGTGCATGTGGGGCTCAAGGGAAGAAGAAGGGGGAAGTTCCATCATGCAAGTAGACGTCTGGTGCTCAAGCCTAACAGCACTGTTGGGACGCAATGTGCTTATTAATTATGTTGATGTTTGTGCTTTGCTATGGATAGAAAACCTGCTAGAAGAAATCACTGATCAGTGTAATTGTTCTGTATTCATTTTAATACCTTATTGCCATTGTGTTTGTAGCTGCTCTGAAGAAATCACATTAAGCCAGAGCATCAAATGAGAAGCAAGCATGCTGCACTGATTTACTGTCACACTTTGTTTGGCGAATAAATGTGTCCTTTCTGATTCCATGCTTGGGGTGCAATGTGGACTTAGATGCAGCCCAGTCCTTTAATCTTAAATGTAGCGGGAATTTTTCATCCGTAACTTACCTAATTAAATACTTTTATTTATAACTTGCTACCTAAGAAATTCAGAAAGTAGCTTCCAATCGCAACAAAATATTATTATAACGTATAAAATTCAAAGTCAGTGAAACAGCAGAAAACATGATGTAAATCAATAATGAATAAAATGTAGTTGTTTGGTAAAGGCACCGACCAAAACAAAACAAAACCTGCCCCCTAAAGCTCAGCAGATTAGGTGCCACAGAGAGGCTGTTCTGCAGCTAGATCACTACCACAGAAAAGGTCCTAACTCCAACTGCCTCCAAGTAACTTTTGAAGGCAGGGGGCAACCAGAGAAGGGTCTGCAGAGATTATTTTAACAAATCTGCAGTTCAAATGGAACCACCACCTGTCTTAGTGAGAAACCTTTGCGTGTTGAGGTCCCCAAGCCACCCCCCAATAACTCAGACATCACACATCAATTTTGGTTAGGGTTTTTGGCACGATTTTGGCCACAACTTTATTTAAATACAGCCAAGTGAGTGGTTGCTTAGGCATTGGTTCCGACTATCTGTCCTTGCCCAGGGGACAGAACTGGACTTCCGGATTCCAGCGAAAGCCAGTGCGGGAAACAAATTTTGGGGAGAAAATGAAGCTGGGCCTCAGTCCTTCACTTCTCACCCTCATGCTCCTGGTGGCTTGCACGGCCCAAGTCTGATGCCAGGGACAAGGACGAAAAGAATGGCAAGCCCCTGGATTCCTTTAACGGAATTCCCTTTCCGCACCACCATTGGAGGGGTAGGCACTTACCCCTCCACCAACCAATTTGAACCAATGCCTAACCGCCAACCTTACAAGTTGTGACGATTTGCTACGCAGTAGGCAAAACCAAATGGCACCAGCCAAACAGCCAAATGGACAAATTCCTACCAGGCCCCTGCCTCAAAGCAGACGACCCCATGACAGGCATAGCAAGGTCAAGCGAACAACCCCCCCAATACAGGGAGGGTGGGTGGGTGATCTGGTGCAAGCAGCCAAGAGAACACTCAAAGTTGGGCGACCAGTATTTAAAACCTCTGACCCCTCCTTCAAAATTGGCAACAAGCAGTTCTCCCCAGCGACCCGATTAACCAATACACTGCCTGGGTCCCTCCACAAATCCGCCCAGCAACAATGGGGTGGCTTGTATCCCCCACTGCAACACGCACTCTCTGCTAGGGAGAACACGTTTTATCAACAGTGCTTTGCTTCTGAAGGAAGAGATCTCTTTTGCTGTGCGAGTAAGCATCCTGAAGCAGATGTGGCACCATGCAAAAGAAGAAGACCTCTTCCTCCTCCTCTCTTTTCTAACCACAGCGAACTGCAGAGCTTGATCATCTGTGCCAAAGCAAACAGAACAAGAATCGGATGAACTTTACAAACGAGTAGAGCAAGGACAGCATTATTTTACCACACAGCATTTCCTCAGTCTTGGGATAGGACAGATAGGACTGACTGTGGCCAGAGCAGAATTCTGCTCCCCATGTACTAAGCAACCTCCCCTGTGGTTTGTACGTCAGTCATGAATTCCCCAATACTGTGGTGAGGAGAGCTGTATGCCTTTTCTCAGTTGGTGCCTGAGTCTGTCATGACCCTTGGTTTTGTGTCTCCTCTTCCAGTATAAAATAACATATGAAAACAATAACAAGTAAATTTCATTATTTTGTTAAGAATCTTCAGTAATGCTTCTTCATGTCCCAGAAACATCACATACACACAATATGGATAATACATGTCAGATTCTTGCAAAAGCAATAAATTACTTCCCTGTTCCATTATACTATGATACACACCTTTGCTTGGCCTTTATTTTAAGAAGGTACAATAGGATTGGGCTGTGAGTATCATATTGACTTGTTGTGTTCAACTATATAAACACTTCAGAAAAGTCTCCTCTTTCCCTGTAGTGCAGCTAATCATTATTTTTCTTTATATCTGCCACATAGGTGTGTCTCAATTTGGACAATATTTGGAATGCTGTTGTTTTGTTTTCTTTAACAGAAACACAATGCCACAATTATCAGTTTGTGAACAAGGTCATTGCAATAGACAGCAACATTGACGTGTTCCCAGGGAATGTACTAACCGTGAACTTTTATCCACAGGGGGAAAAATGCAAAATATTGGTTAAAGGCAGGGATTTCCTTGAAGTATGTAACAAAAAGTGATGGATTATACTGCAATGAACAAAAGCACTTATTTCACTCAGTGTAATAGAAGTTCTTAGACATACGTTTGCAAATATTTATTTTACTCACTACTTTTTGGAAGATTTGGCAAATTGGCTAACTGATTACCACTGTTACAGAAAGCATGCAGAGTCTTGTAATCTAAATGTTAATTTGCTCATAGAGTTTCATTCTCTTCTGTGGAAAGAGAAAGAAAAGAGAAAATACTTTCCTGATTCCAGTTGTTATAATTATGCCATGTTTTGTTTTTGTTTTCCTTAAATTGTTTTGGTTTGGTTTAAGTGGAGCTTTGTAGGTGGCCGAATAAGAACTTCGAAATTAGGCATTCTGTATAGCTTTGCCACATGCAGAAGAGAACCTTACAAATAAATAAAATTGAGCAGTCTGATAAATACTATAAAATGATGACATTCTGTATTTCAAACTGTGAAAACAGAAATGATAAATATTTAGGTATCCC